CCCTCTGGTCCAATAGATTGGACTGGATTGGACAAGGGTGGTCCAATGTCCAGATCCAATGTTCAGGCCCAACACTGCTCGAACCAATATCTGTGGTTCTGGACCATGCATAACCATACCATAACAATAACTCTAACCAATATAGTAAGAAATACTAATATAATATAGAAAATATAACAAAGAAATTTAAACACAAAAACTTTCATAACACCAATCAGACTTAAGATTTTGTGGATGGATATCGCTTGAAATGCCATATAAATCATACGCTCAATTGTATTGGTTCCTGGTATATTATTTAGAATAGATATTAAAAATAAATACAAGTATCATTTTTTGTTAGTTTACTATAGTACAAAATCTATAATTAATCATTTAATGTTCTATTTTGACTTTACATTAAATAAAATATTTCGTTACTTGAAAGAACAAAATTTATCTATGCCATTATTAAATTAAAGCTTCAAATTATAAGATTACACACTTCCCTTTCTTTCTATTTCTTCTAGAATCTTTACCTCCTTCTCTATTCTGTCTTATCATTTTAACCACACCATAAAATGATCTTTCCACATTCACGCATGTTTTTGCTGAACTTTCAATAAAATCGCATTTGAGTCTTCTTGCCATATTCATCCCTTCTTCTCTTGAAACTTCACGTCCAGTTATTATGTCACACTTGTTACCAGTAAGCATAAGTGGAACAGGTTCATTGTCTTTTACACGTATAATTTCATCATGAAATCGTTCTACTCGCTCAAATGTTGATCTTGAAGATATAGAATATACGAGTAAGAAACCTTCACCATCCCTGAAAAAGGAACAAGTTTATTAAAATCAGAAAAATTCAATTGTCCGAATTATTAGCTTTCAAGGGCATTTATTACATGATCCATTGATTGCGTGCAGCTGTATATTCTTCTATTAAATTTAATTAAACAGAGTGAAGCTAGTAAATATTTGTTTGAAAATTACAATATTACATTGCTGGATTTAGTATTTTTATAATAACTTTTGGCTACTGAACATAAGAGTTAACCCTCTAAACATGATTAAGCATCTCTTATCATAGGATACTTGTCACACATATAATCCTAACAAATATATGTATAATATAATAGCTTAGACGATGTTTGCAAACCTTGCCCAGCAGTATCCAATATTTCTAGAACACAGGCGTGATCATCAATGACCACTTGTTTTCGATATAAATCTTCTATAGTTGGGTCATATGTCTAAATATGAATACTTCTCTGGTTAATAAATATTATAAGTCTACCAAACATTGAAATACAAACCTCTATTTACATGAAAAAATCCAATAAAAATTAGTAATTGGACCAAGTTTACGAATACATTATATTAAAGGAGAGCTCCTAAAGCCTGCTCTAATTTGCCTACCAACAAAGTGGTTTAGACATAACTATAATTAAGAACGCCAAATAACCAATTAACATTAAGCTTAGAATTTTTAAAAATATAAAGCTATTTTGACTAACTTGAATTGTAAGTGCCGTCTGACGAAAATAAAATTCAATCAAAATGATTAATCAAATGGAAATATCAATTTCGCCAAAATAATTATATAGATAATTTATACCTTTCCAACGCCTCCATCTCCAAGAACGACTATTTTGTATAGCATCATTGTGATAAAACAATGCAAAAATATTTATGACGATTCTTGCCTAAGAGTACAATAAATGGAGAACCTGCTGCGTAACATGGCACAAATTACGCAATTAAAATTGCGCTACATTTTTTACCAAAAAAATTCGTTCGCGAATCGAAATTGTGCAAGTTGTGCTCCGGATGATCTCATTATCGTTTATATTTCGCTTCATATTTCGCTTCGTGTTTCGTTTCATATTACACTTCATACTTCACTTCATATTTCATTTCATACTTTGCTTTTTTTTGCTTTATATTCGCTTTATTTTGCTTTATATTTTGCTTAATACTTTGCTTTATATTTCAGTTCATACTTTGCTTTATATTTCAGCTCATACTTTGCTTTATATTTCAGTTCATACTTTGCTTTATATTTCGGTTCATACTTTTTGCTTTGTATCTCGTTTCATACTTTGCTTTATATTTCGTTTCATGCTTTGCTTTATATCTCATTTCATACTTTGCTTTATATTTCGCTTCATATTTCGCTTTATGCTTTGCTTTATATTTCGTTTCATACTTTGTTTTATATTTCGCTCCATATTTTGTTTCACATTTCGCTTCATATTTCTCTTTATATCTTCTTATTACGTTAAAGCTCATTGTCCACCAGCCAATCAGAAAATTATTACAATCGTACTACATAATCGAATCTATACGTATAAGTTTAGTAATGAAAAATAAGAAAAATAATTTGATAACATTGTAATAAGATTAATTGTAATAAGATTAATTATAATAAGATTAATTGTAATAAGATCAATTGTAATAAGATTAATAAGATTAATTGTAATAAGATTAATTGTAATATTTAAATTTTTCTAAATTCATTAAGATCAAGAAAAAAAAACAGAATTTGAGCTATTCTCAATTCGCTAAAACTATTTACTGTTTTTACATGAGGTACAAATTTAAAATTTAAATACAAGTTAACTTTTATTATACAGACATAGTATCCATTTATTTAATGTTTATTTTGGATTTCTCTTTTACTATTTATTAGCAATATTATAAATTTGTCTAGCTAACAAGAAATATATTTAACACAATAATTATATACTATATCAATTTGGTTTGAATTTTATTAGGGTGGGCACTATATTATGACGAGCATTAGTAAAACTATAATTATTTTACCCTGATGCAAATATTAAATTGATACAAATATATGTACTATTCTTATAAACATGCTTCATAATGGTATAAAATGTGGCACGTAGTGACTCATGTGAAACTAGTAAAAATACCTATAATAATAATAATGCAAACCGATTCGTTTAACTTGTCAGATTTACCTACTCTATTCCAAAAAATACTTCTATCTAATAATTCTTATAAATAAAAAATTATATTGAACTTGAGTTAACGGTTAAATTTGAAAAAATAAATATTGGACAGTTTAACGTGGATTTATACGTGGATTTTAACAGCTAAAAAGGTACCTTAATTGGCTAAGCGAATTTCAGGAAATATCAAAGATCGCTATGCGGCTAAGAAAGAACATGAAAAGCCGAATCTTTATCATCTGGCAAACTGGTTACTTATCTCTATCAACGAAATTCTACCGTAAAAACCGAATCAATATGAAGTGAAGCGAAAATTCGAGTATTACCAACATAAACCCAATGAAAAAGGCGTAAAATTTCTCAAGTCCAACTATAATGAAAGCACGTAAAAAGAAAAACTTCCAAAATAAAAATGTATAATTTATCAAAGAACATTGACACACATGCATTGATAATGGTTGTCACGGATGATCGTGAAATCAAACCCTATCTAATATACTATTTTTAAAAACTTTTAGGGCATATTTTTTTATACTTTTTTTTTTTTTTAGATTTGGACTAGGATTTAGGGTTAGAGTTTATAATAAAAGAGTATATGTGGATTTTAGTAGGGCTTATATTTTAAAATCAAGGCCCCAGATTTCACGATCATCCGATTCCACATCATCAGCGACAATTAATGAAAAGAAATATGCAAATTAACCGTTAGCTAAATCAACCTTCTTGTGACCTCGTCTCGGGATTTCTACTCTATATTTTATACATAATTTTAAAATATGCTATTTAATGGTACAGTAAAAAAAATGTAATTTGGTTATCGATTTAATAAAAAACTTAATATTTATTATCATGGCTTTTAAATTTGTGATAAGTGCGCATTTCGCCGATAATCACTTCACCGAAGTTTAGTTCACCGACAATTAATTCACAAACAAGTACATTTCACCGACAGTTATTTCACCAACAACATTTCACCGACAAAGTAATTCTGGTCATTGTTGTTAGTGTCAGGTTAAAATTAGAGTTAAGGTTAGTGCAACTTACAAAAAAATACTTGTCAGTGAAATGAGCTGTCAGTGAAATAATTGTCGGTGAAATGAACTTGTCTGTGAAATAATTGTCGGTTAACTAAGCTGTCTGTGAAGTGATTTTCGGTGAAATAATACGTATCCATAAATTATACCTCGTTTTTACCTGTTCTATTCATAATTCTACAGTACATACATTATCATTTTGTGCAATATTTCGCATAAACTTTTCTGTTCGAAATTTGTTCATAGAGATAAGCAAGCAAGACTTTCAGTTTTATTAAACTGTTCTCACATAATTAGATTCACACACTCAAAAAAATAATGATAAGGCTTGTTATAATGATTTACCCTATACTATCATGAAGTTATTGTTAACAATATCAATGTCAGATTGGAACTGATCTACACAGAGTTTTACAAAAGAAAACGAATCGATAGTTTACAGTCAAAGTGAATTTTTCCCATGTAGTGGTAGTTGCTAGACACATATTCGTATCTAATAATACAGTTTACGATTAACATATATAGTTAACATATTGGTATTTACATGTTATTGACCTACCAGTGGTGCTACATCTCGCATCAAGATTTTTGCTCTTTAATAATTCGGTCGCCTACATCCCAATTTTGGGGTATGACTAGCAAATATGTGCAATATATAATAATACATCACAAGATAAAAACCGTTGAATATCTTTAATAGATCTTGACATAAATGGATATTAAAAAAGCAATTATATTATATATTTAAGAAATAATGTTAAAATCTAACCTGTCATTTAACGACGGGCCTAATATCTAAAATTATAAAAAAGTGATATATTAAGCATTAACACTATGTATTTCGTAAAGATATCATTATGCATAAATGGTTGGCATAGTAGATTTATTAACTTGAATTACACGGAGAACAAAGTTAATTTTGCTTTTTTTATAAAATTGACAATTGAATAATGATTAATTATCAGGAGTTGGTATGACATTTTTTAGTAAAAAAACATTTGTAAAAAGAAACGAAACCAAAAGATTATCCAACCGAGTGTGCTTATTCCTGAGTAAATTCCCATCCAATGGTGCTTCCGAGGAGGGTAGGGTTGTTGTAGATCGTTGCGGTTGCGGAAATGGTGGAAGTTGGGAAAAAGAAGAAGTGGGAGAGTTGAAACAATAAATTTGTCAGATCTAACGCCCAAACAATCAAAAAGGACAAGTTTAGAAGTTTGAGTTATGGTCAAGTTAGAAATGGGATTTTGGAACATTTTAATTCCACAGTGCTATGAAGATCCAAAATAGTAAGTAAATTACTAGAGACATTTAAATAAGCTAAATTGAGGTGTTAAAAAAAAACAGTGATATTATTGTGAGAAAACTTTAGTGTTTTCATATTAGGAGAGTTTGGTAAACCAAAAGCACTGCCTGCTAACTGATTGTAAGCTTTATCAACTAATTCTAGGTTAGAAAGCCCAGTTAAATTATTAAACTAAACAGTTCAATTCTTTTAAGTTTGGGAAGGAAGCTGTCCAGTGGTAAAACACCTTCTAAATTTTGACAACTAGGTAATGTCTAAATTAACAATTTGATCTCTGGTTTTGCCATAATTCTCTTTAACTTCAACTCTTATACAAGTGCTATTTGTGGGATAGTTTTGTCTAACCAGATTTACCATAATTTGGGTTGTTTTTATTTATTTTTATGCAATTTTTTTCTGAAAGAAAAAGTTTGGTATAATGTCAAAAAAATTATTATAAGATCTAACAAGAAAGAGAAAATTGGGATAATAATTTTTGAAATTTATTATAGCAGATCAGTATCTGGTATGATATGTAAGCAGATCAGTATAGTACAGGCCAATTTTTAAAATTATACTATACGGATCTGCAAAATTATAGAAACTAACGCTCATATATATAATACCTGG